CTAAAAATGATATCGAGATGAAACCACCAATATTTACAAAGATTACAAATTATAGATAGAAACTACTCCTATGCTAAGAAAGCTACTCCTAGGTTTTGCTAAGTCTAAATCTAGTTGTTTGTGTTGTTGTTAATCCCTTTCTTTCTATAAATTTTTAGCCTTTATACTTCTTTCCCTCGCCCCTATGATCGCCTCAATTTGCAACTGTTGCTATGTAACTGCTGTAACTGCTTCCTGACTTTTAGGCCTTCCAATCACATTTAGAGATATAATAATGGCTCGACCCGCCCAAACAGGCCTCATGGGCTCCCGCATTTTTAGCAGTCGGGCTGGGTCGGCCCATGGGCCAAAAAGTGAGGCCCAGGCTCAAGTCCAAGCCCACTCATAATAGGGCCTAGGACTGGGCCTAGTCAGTTTTTTTTTTTATTTTTATTTTTATTTTTTTATTTTTTATATTAGGAATAAAAAATAAAAAAATTATTATTACTAAAGTATTTTAGTTGAGATTAATGAGATGTTTTGTTTGGTTATGCGATGTTTCATGGTGATATTTAAATTTAATTATATATGACTTATGTTTTTTTAATTATGAACTTATAACTAAAAAAAGTATGTAATTATGTAATTTTTTTCCTTTCGAATTGAATAATTATATATATATGAAAATAAAACTTTCAATATTACAATATTAAATTATTTATATAACATTTATTGAATGAATAATTTTTATTTCAAAATGAAATAAAATATTACAAAAATTGATATTATTAAATAAATTAGGTGTAGATTATTGATGATGGTAGAATAATTTCATCACTATAGGTCAAGTACATTCCAACTGAGTTGGCAACTAATAGCTTACCAATCATTTGCATTATACTCCATCTCAATAATCTAATACAAAAAAAGAAAAAGAAAAAAGAAATGAAATGAAATAAAATAGTTAAAACAAATTGTTGATCAATCATCGGAGGAGACGGACATTTTAGTTGCGTTGCCCGAGAATATGTCATTCAAATCATTTTGAATTCGCTCATTTTCACTATAATTTTGTCTTCTTGCAAGCGCATGCATATGATCTCTATATATCATCAGTGCCTTAACTGTTTCGGATGAAAGCCTGCTCCGGTAATCGCTCAGTATCCGTCCACTTGCACTAAAAGTTGTTTCCGAAGCAACTATAGAAATAGGAACAATTAGTATATTACGGGCCATCTGTGAAGCCACGGGTCATTTGTGAAATCACAGGCCACATAGTTTCATTTTGTTTCCACCATTTTAAAATGTCAAAATCATTGAAATCATCCACTGACGGGCTTTCCAAATAATGTTGTAGTTCAGAACTGCTTACACTTGTATGTTGAGATATTCTTCTACTTTTTATTGCGGAAAAAACACTTAATCTCCCACCTCGAGATGAGACTACTAGTGTAGTGTGTGTAGGTATATTTACAGATGCAGCTGCCCTGTATTCTTCAAATAATCTATTGTATGTTTGCATAATAGGAGCAAACTGTGTTTGATCAGCGAAAAAACGCTTTAAAAATTTTTGTAAACCAATTTCTTTATACCTAGGATCAATTATTATGGCTAAACCTAATAGATGAGGCAAATGATCAAAATATTTATCAAAATTTTCTTTCATTGAAATAATAATGGTTACACAATATTCATTACCCATATATTTTATGAAAACTTTAATTATTTCTGTTAGCATATGTAAAACAAATGGTGAATTAGGAATATATATATATATATATATATAAGAAAATAATTTTGTTGAAGTATCGAAAACTTTTAAAAAAATCTTTGTATAAGGCTACTTGGCACCAATTAAGTTTAGTGGGAGTCAGTACTCCTCCTATGGATGTTGTTATAAAAAATAAATCTATTGCTCTTCTTTGTTTACAAGTTATTTTTAACATATTATATGTTGAATTCCACCTACTATCTACATCTAAAATTAATTTTCTAAATAACATATTTTCTTGTTGACAAATTTTTCTATATTCCGAAATTCAAATAGCAGAAGACATAATAGTAACAATTGTATTTTTTATTACAAGTACAGAAGTCTTGTATACATGTATAGCTTCTTTAACAATCAAATTTAAAATATGGGCACAACAATGAACATGAAATAAATCACTATCAATAAGTAATTGTAAAATTGATTTTAAATGGGTCATAGTTTGATTATAATATGTTGTATTATCTAAACTAATTGTAAATATTTTATTTTGTAAAGCCCACTCATATAATACGTTTTTTATTTCTACACCAAGCGAATGACCAGTATATGGAAGTTCAACTAATTTAAATAAAATAATTCTTTTATTTAATTTCCAATCATTATCAATAAAATGTGCAGTGATACATTGATATTCAAAATCATTATTTGATCACAGATCAGATATTAAACAAACTCTTCCATTCAAAATTTTAAAGATGTCAAATAATTTATTTTTAACATCCTCAATTTTTTTTTTTAAAATCCTGTTTCTAGTAGTATTTCTTGAAAAACTTTGATATTGTGGTACAAAACTTTCGTGAATCATTTTGGTAAAATCGAGACATTCACTAATAGTAAAAGGTTGTTCTTTTTTAATAATATAATCAACTACAGAATTTTGTACACGTATATGATCATATGAAAATGTTTGTAAATTACCAGTTGATGAAGCCCCTAATTGCATTTGATTTCAAATATCAGGTTGTTGACTTTGTAAATATTTGTTAGCATGCTTTTTTAGATGACTAGTACTCCTTGCAGATGCAGTACTGAGTAAATGTGCACAATATTTACATTCTGCTTTAAATGTAATTGTACCATCAGGATTATTTATAGATATTTTTTCAAAATATTCCCAAATACTACTACTATTGCTCCTAGATGATGATCCAACTGTTGGAAGTGGGATATTAGAAGGAGAATCAACAAATTCATGTTGTGTAGTATATGTATCAATATTGACATAAACATCAGGAATATTAGGATCTATAGTAATGTAAGTAAAACAATATATAAGAATTAACAATTAATTTAAATAATGTGTAAATACAATCAGTAAAAAAAATAATTAATATATGTGCACAAATAATTAATGAAAAAAATGAGTAGCTAATAAATTTAATTAAACTAATTAAAGTTATCAAAAGGCGAATGCGATATAGAAATTAGCTTCTTCTAATAAAAATTTCTCGTTGCACAATTGCAATTGTCACTTAGGGATGACACTTCAAAATTAATTGAGAGTTAAGAGAGATTGAGAGTTTAAGAGAGGTTCAGAGAGTTTAAGAGAGAGGGAGAATCATTTGTTGTGAGATTTATTTTGAAAAATGAAAGATATTTATAATAGTTTTAAAGAGTGAAATAAATTTATAAATAAATAAATATATATATATATATATATTACCGTTTGAATTATGATTGTTCGTATATCTATTACCGTTTGAATTTTTGTATACTAATTTATTACCGTTTGAATCTTTGTAGGATTGTCCGGCTCTTCTTTTCTTCCAATGCAATGTCATTTCGTTTGGCTGCTATAGCAGCCTGTGGGTCCCACTCCACTCCCACACTCCATTTCTCTCTCTCTCTTATCTTGTGCCATTATTTCGGCTAGCATGGCAGCTAGCCACAGTGCCACTCCCACAGTCCATTTCTCTCTCTCTCTCCCTCTCCTATGTTCTTCCATTATTTCCGCCGCCTATTGTAGTAGCCACAGTGCCCTCTCTATCTATTTCTCTCTCTCTCTCTCTCTCTCTCTCTCTTGTTCCTGTGGCTAGGTAGCCTAGGAGTGGGTGTAAACTATTATTATTTTTTGTTTTATTTTAAAATTATTAATGTTATTTATTTAATTATATAAATTTTTATTTCAATTCTTGTAATTCAATTACAGATAATTGTACAAATTATTAACTATTAACTATTATGTTATTTTGTTTTTGTTTTTATTTTTTTTATTTTTACAAGATTAATCTTTTTATTTATTTTATTTTTATTTTTTATAATTATTTAACCGTTGTAAGTTGTTTTTTATTTTTATTTTTTGAAATTTGACCATTGGTAGAGAGAGGGTCGGATGGGTGGGCTGGGTCGCCCTTAGGGCTTGAATTTTTTTGGGCCGGGCTAAGTTGGGCCAACAGGCCAGGCCACAAATGGAAGGCCTAGGCCCAAGGTATTGGGCTAGGCTTGGGCCCGTGCATAACTGGGCCGAGACGGGTCGGGCCCACCTCGGGCCTCGGGCGGGCTTTGGGTCGCCCATGGGCCTCGGGCCATTTTTACACTCCTAATGACATTAGACCTTCACTTCTGTCTATCGAGATGCTTCCCCTTTAAGTTGCCACACACCTCTTAGTCTTTTGGACCTTCTATCGACAGAGAATGAAACTTTCACCTTGCACTTTCCTCTTTTTGCAAGTCACCCACTAAGCCAATGACTTAGCTAGTAGCTACTCCATCACCAACACTGTTTAATTCACATTTATCAATCTCTCTCATATCGCTTACCCTCTCTCGCAACTGTTGAACCCTCACTTGATTTTGCCACACGTCGTATCCCAACTAGTTCACCAGCAAAAATGGGTGCAAACAATGCCCCCATTGTTTAGGTTGAATAAATATAAAGTTTTATATTTATTCAACTCAAACAAACCTACTTATTTTGGGCCAAAAATAAAGACTTGCTTTGCCTTTACATGAAATGTATTGGCACTTAACAACTTCCTTTGAAAGTCTCCTACATGGTTAGATATTATCTCTTAAAATACTTCACATTTATATTCCTCCTATGTGGCTGCCCCTCTAAAGATTCCAATTGATATGCACCTCCCTTAAGGACCTTATGGATCCTAAAAGGGCCTTCCCAATTTGGTAACTACTTGCCAAACTCAGCGTCTTTTGTTCCCAATGGCAAGATAGTCTTCCACACTAAATCACCTTCCCTAAAAATTTTTAACTTGACCTTCTTGTTATAAACTCTCTCAACCTTCTTTTTCTAAGCCATCATACGATCAAAGGCATCAATCCTTTTGCATTCTACATCTTGCAACTCCATAAACATGGCTTCTACATACTCATCGATAGGAATATCATAATGCTTAGCCATCCTACTAGACTTTACTGTCACCTCTAAAGGTAGAATTGCAACATAACCATAAACTAACTCATAAGGAGATCCTTGAATGCTATCCCTCTTTGAATTTCTGTAGGCCCACAAAACCTCAGATAATAACTCATGCCAATCCCTTGGATTGTCTTCTATCACTTTACTTAGTGTCACTTTGATTGTTTTGTTTGATGACTTTGCTTGCCCATTTGCTTGGGCATAATATGGAGATGAGTTCAACATTTGAATGCCATACTCTTTGGCAAATTCCATTACTTCATCACCATTGAGTACTATCCCTTGATCAATAGTAATTGTTTGTGGCAAACCAAACCTATGCACTATGTGGCAAACCAAACCTATGCACTATGTGCTTCTTAATAAAATCAACCACATGAGATTGATTCTCTACTTTTAATGGGACTGCCTCTACCCACTTAGTAAAATAATATGTGGCCACTAATATGAATGCATGTTCTTTTGATGGTAGAGGAAATATCTGGCCAATCAGATTCATTACCCAACCTCTAAATGGCCAAGGTTTGACAATTGAATGCAAGTCCCTAGCTGGCACTTTTTGCACACTGCCATGCTTTGGCACTGCTGGCACCTTTTTGCATAATCAATACAATCTTTCCTTATTCACCCAAAAAAATACAATCTTTCCTTATAGAGGGAAAAAAATACCCATACGTTTTGATTAACCATCTCATCTTCTCACCTGCTTGGTGAGCACCACAAATGCCCTCATGGACTTTTTCCACGACTTGCATCTGTTTTAACCCTCCAATATATAACAATGTCAACCCATCTTGGGTTCTTCTGAACAATTCATCTCCTATAATGACATAATTCATAACTTGATATTTTATCCTTCTATCTATTTTTGCTTCTGAGTCACTCAAATACTTGATCAAAGGTGATCTCTAATCATCCTCTAACACTTCCAAAGTCAATATTGACAAGCCTTGCAACTGTCGACACCTAACACAAGGCATTGTCCTCTTCTGAATCCTAACTATCCCTTCCTGGAAACCCTTTGGAATTCTTAAAGCAGAGGCTGCTTGGGCCATCTTGTTGGCCTCCTTATTCTTAAGCCTGAACATGTGTTCAAACTCTACTATCTTAAATCCTTTGACCAACTGTAACACTTGTTCTAAATACTCTCCAAGCACTGCACTATTGCACTTATATTGACCTAACACCTGCCTTATCACGAACTGAAAATCCCCAAACACTTTTAAATGTGGAATTCTTAGACTCCTTGCCAACTCCAAGCCAATAATCAAGGCTTCATACTTTGCCTGATTATTTGGCAGCACCTGGGTTTCATCCAACTGGTATGAGGATTGAAATACCTGTCCTTGGGGTGAAACTAACACCACCCCAACACTAACACCCTCTTCAGTTTTTGAACCATCAAACATCAATTTCCATGGCTCTTTTTCAACTAAGAACACCTTATACAAATCTACCTCGACAAGGCAACATGGATGCTCAACTAAAAAAATCTGCTAGTGCCTGGCCTTTCATAGTTTTTTGAGGTACATACTTAAAGCAATATTCAATTAAGGCCAATAACCATTTTCCCTACCTTCTTCTCAAAATTGGCCTAGATAACATGTATTTTATTACATCAGTCTGAGCAATCTCATTAACCTCTGTAGGTAGCATGTAATGCCTCAGTTTGATGGCTGCAAAATACAAGGCCAAACACAACTCTTCAACAAAACTGTATATAGTCTCTACCTCATTTAATTTCCTACTTAGGTAATACATAGCTTGCTCACAGCCCTCCTCATTATCCTGAGCCAATAAGCACCCAGTTGACTGTTCTCTTGTTGAAATGTACAACTTTAAAGGTTTCCCTTTTTAATTACATCAAAATCAGATTCACTCTCACTCTTCTTCATTTTCATTGGTAATGTCTTCATTCAGCACCTTATCTACAGGCTTGGTCTACAAGATACTTGGCCTGGCCATTACTGGCTCATCTATCGAAACCCTTCCTCAACAAACTTTTGGAATTGACCATAGGTTAGTCTAATCCCCCTTGATTTCAACTCTTCATTTTCTAGCACAATAGGGGCTGAATTCTTAAGCATACAACATAACCTCCACATTGTGGATATCAGCCTTGAGTGGATTTGCCTCTGCCCAGAAAACCTCCATGTCTTGCCCTTATTGGCCTTTTACTGTTAAGAAAATTAAAGCTTGATGAAGGGAAGAAGGCACACAACCATTGGAATGAATCCAATCCCTTCCAAGCAGCAGGTTGTAATTTGAAGTGGAGTCAATCACAAAAAATGTTGCTTCCAGAACTCTGGCCCCCACTTGCAATTGCAATGCAAGGTAATTACTTCCCTTGTGTTAGATAACCCTCTTGAAAAATCACTTATGGATATACCAGAAGGGATTAAGTCATCAGCTGTCTTCCTAATCACACTCAAAATCTTAGTGGGTGGAATGTTCACAATGGCTCCATTATCAATCAACACCTTAGTTAGAGGACAACCATTCAAGTGAGCACTTACATACAAAGGCCTCAAGTGCCATATCACTTCTGGTTTGGGTGACTGGAGTACCACCTTCTCACTACTACCAGTTTTGACCACCTGAATAGACTTGCTAGCCCCTTTGAACTCACTTACCTTCGTCATCATTATAGTAGGCTCTGACATATCTTTTACATCACCTTCTAGTTGCTCTAACTGCCTAGGTTTTGCCTTAAACCTCTTTGGTACAGCCAAAATCATGTTACAATCAGGGTTTGTAGGCAAAGAACCAAACCTGATTGCATCTATTCTTTCCCCAAAGTCCCCAGAACTTTCAGACTTTGTATTTTCTTTACTGTCAACAGGAACCTCCTTTGACTTTCCTGCTACCATTGCATTCCCATCAATCATCACCTCATCTTCCCCACTCTTGTAACGCCTCGAAGAAATTAACAATACAATCATCCACGAAATTAAATAGATGACATGACATTACCGAATATGATATCTTTAGATTTACATGGTTCCAATCAAAATAATTCTCTTTTTCATTGAACTGTAGGTCTTTGTTTACAAAACAATTACAAAATACATATCCCTGTTCAGTGAGTTAGAGAAAATTTCAAAACGAATACATTACATTGAGACTTCTAGAAAAATTATAAAACTTAAAATAAATAAAAAGGATTTCAAAAGTTTTCATTACAATCCCAAGTCTACTAAAGATCAAAAGGCAACAAAACAACAAGGGAAAAAATATCTTTTTCATCATTCGTCTTCATAAGTAGGTTTGGGGTTTTTCATTTCCTGAGATGTTAGAAAAACAGGAATGAGCAATGTTGCCCAGTAGAGCATGACTTTATCCAAGTAGATATACATTCGATTTAAATATGTATGACCTATATTTAAACCAAGAGTGCACATGTATCTAAACCTTAAATTTCATAAACCCCAATTCACAATCAACCTCCACACTTTTTCCGTCCTCACATGGATGGCATGTGGATGCCTCAAGCCTTTCCACTTTTGCCATGTCCTCCCACGAACTAGTCAGTGGACACCTCACAACATTTCGCCATTCGTCGCCCTCATGTGAAACAGTTAAGTGGGCACCTCAAGCACAACCCCACATTCGTCGTCCTCACACGAACTAGGTACGTGGGCACCTCAAATACATTCCTTAATATTTACATTTCTCATCCCATATCAACAATTTCAAGGAATTTCCAACTTAATTATCCATCATTCATTTCATCCAATTCATAAAACAATCCCTTTGGGTTCAAATGAAAATTGGGGTTTTCCAACTCTAAGGTTTATTTTCCTTAATTCAAGTATATTTACTTACTATCTCATAGATGATTTCCTAATCCACCATCAATTTCACAAAAACACATCATCTATACAAAGCTTATATATATATATATATATATACTAGTGTATACCCTTGCTTAAAGGCACAGTGTAAATAATATTGGTACACATATTTTACAAAAATCAATTAACATAAATTATTAATATTGGTATCACATCATTTACAAAAAAAATCAATTGAAAATAATAATAATTTCACTGCTACAGAAATCAATTATAATCAATCAATTCAAGATGAAAATAATCTCACTGCAATATAAAACTCCACACATAAGACTTCAGCCACCATCTACCACCACACCACCACCGGCCGCGATATTAATTCGTATTTGAAATTTTTATTGAACTTTTTATAGAATTTCACCATCTAAAAATAGAATTTAAAATAGTGACTAATACAGTATTGAACAAAGGTGTGTTAACACATTTTTAAAATTTTAAAATGTAGTTGAATTGAGTCATATACAAACTTTAGTGTATTTATCAAAAAAAAAAAAATCTATAATTTATTTAAACAATGTCACCTCAAACATTTTTTTGAGTCATATGTATTTAAATATTTTTTGATTAAAATAATATTAAAAATAAAATAAGTTAAAATAATATCAAATTCATAATCATTTTACGTTTTTTTCTCATATACATTACATGTAATTATAAAAAAATTCAACAATCTTGCTAAACATAATTATTTTAACCTATTAAACTAACCAAAAATTAAAATAACTTACTAAAGTAACCATCCTCCCAAGCACCTCCTATAATTCTGCGTGGCTTTATTAATTTTTTTAGAGACCACACTCTCGTTACCAATTACACTCATCTTTTCAATTATTTATTGTGTCTCAGATTGGTCTCTTTTTCTGACTCACTTTCTCTTTTTAATTAGAGACAACGCGTGTTTTTAATATAAATAAAAAAAAATATGTTGAAAAAAAAAGCACTCTATAATTATTTTATCTCAAATTTGTGATTTGATTTTGTTAAACCATAGGAAATCAACACCTATTTCAAAAGCTTTTTCAAAACCATAAAAAATCAACACTCATTTTTCATTAAGTAATTAAATCCATTTCATAAATCAAACTGAAAATAAAAATACATTTACAAAATCAAAACCCATTTTATGAAGATCAAGTATTATTTCAGACCAAAAACTTTTTAAAAAATTAAATCCAAACCCATAAGCTACATAAAAAAAAATCTATATAAATAAAGAACCAAAAAAAAAAAAAAAACCCCAAACACATCAATTTAAGGGTTAGAAACGCAGAACCCACATGGGTTGTCCATCAATTCCCACTCATTCTCTCTCCTCTATCTTCCACCATTCATTCTCTTTCACATATGAGATACATCTACCCTACTCTCTCTCTCATCTATCCTCTCTCCAGAAATGCTGGTCTCTCTCATCTCAATTGGATCAAACTACAAATGCTGTAGAAGTGAAGTGGACACATGTATGATACATCAGTTTACTTAAAAGTGATTAAAATTAGGAGATAATTAAGAAGATGGAACCTTCACAGCAAGAGGTAGGTCTCTGAGGTCTCTTTTTTTGCCCTTTGCTTGGCATGTACGACCAAATCAGGATATAACTGAAGTTCTTATCTAGTGACTGATCAGGCTCCACCGTCGCAACATCTTTAGGGATCGGGCCTTCGTTGGGCTTCGTATACCCAAATCACAGTGGTGATCAAATGACAAACTCTTTATGGTAGTAGCCTGATGTCGATCCATCCATAGCGACAGCGATGATGAGCAATGGCAGTGGTGATAAGCAGCAGCGGTGGAGATGACTGGAGAAAGTGGCGTTGTGTGGTGGCTGGGTTGCAAGAGAGTCGTCAAAAAGAGATGTATCACCGTCGAAGAGAGATATACTGGTGTTGCAGTGGAAAATAAGACTGAGAGAGAGAGAGAGAGAGAGAAATTTGAAAATTGGGATGTGAGACTGAAAGACAGAGAGGAGAGTTTATAGAGAGTTCGAT